TAATCAGGATTGATTTAGTTTTGCCCGTATGTCGGCAACCTGGAGAGAGCAGATTTATTCTTAACTTGAAATTCATAGTCGAATAGTAATGAGAAAAATGAAAATTCGGATTGTTATTGTGATCAATATCAACAAATCAAAAAAGATTAGATTTCTTAGTACTGTAGCCTTATAAACAGTCGGAGTGAAAGTGATGGACATTCGAGGATCTCAGCAAGAGAGTTCTTATTCTACTCTACAAATGTGAAGTCATAGCCTTTCTGGATATGTCTCCTGAATACATAAACATATTGCTTCCATTTCGATTATTGCCTTAATGAAGGCTAAAGCGGCGCCTTACCGTTGCAATCTAAAAGCTTAATGGCGCCACAATAGGTAAACTTCAAGAGAACCCACATTAAATAGGTTTTGGAGACGATTGTTGTTGAATTTCGGTAGTACTTCACGAACTTAAACTAACGTTCCGTCCTGTATTGGAAATTACTGTTGAAGCTTTTCAAGGGTATATTAATCGTATTTAAAGTCATCGCTTAGATAAAATCGAACATTACATCGAGAGAATATTTGCTGAAACGAATTTTTGCTTTAATATAATTTCATAAATTTCAATAACAATGACATTACTGATACGCCTCGTCAATTTAGTTCTTGGTTATGTACATTTTAAAATTGACTAAGGAATAGGTCGAGCGTTTGTGCGATTTGGAACTTTCTGCGTCTTGTCATTTACTTGATCTGATATATGCAATTTGTGATTTTGTTGTTCCTTTTTCGATTTTTACGCTTATTTTTTCTATGGCTATGTTTATTATCTCCTCGCACTAAACAGATGATCGCTTTGCTTACGTCATTGTTGCTATGTAATTACTGCGTACTTTTGTAAAAGCTTTCTTTACAAAGTCGATTTTTTTTTCTTTTCTGCTATACAAAGGACAATTTTTCATAAAGCTTTGCTGATCATAGAGGTTGTTCTCTCCTTCTATTGTTTTGTGTTCTCTCTCTCTCTCTGTATACCAGAGATTATATCCTGATCCTCACGGTAGCTATACAATATGTCAAATCGTGTAATATTTTATTTGTCTTCATTCGTTTTCGAACTCGATCATAATCAAAATCAAGGATTTCCTAATCAAAGTGTATTGTGGAAAGAATTGGAAATTAATTATTATTGAAAATTTTTACAATAAGAATAAAGAGCAGCATCTGGAGTATAGGTGTAAAAGAAAAAGTGACGAATTTCAAAAAGAAGAAAGAAAGAAAGTATAGTTTCCGTATACTCGATAAAATCCATTTTCACGTAAAATAGTCAATGATGAAAAATGAAATATATTTTATAACATAATTTAAAAAAAAAAATTGTGAATACTCTCTTTTTCCTAGAATGAATTGACCTTGCTCCTTCATATATGAGCCCGTGCATAAATTTCGAGTGAAAAAGTACAAGGAAAAGAAACAAAATTACTTTTACTTCCAGTATGCGAAAACGAAACGGGAAATCAGGACAAAGAGAAAATTAAACGCGAAGCCTTTAAACCAAATTTCAAATATGCGCATTATTGTGTTTAAGATGAAAAACCAGTTTTATTACTACAATCCACCCAGTTCAAGGCAGTTATCGTGTACGGAAAATTTTGCCAAAGTTAGAGCTAATTTTCAGCTAAATCATTGTCTACCACCTAAGTTCACTCACAACTTTTTTATAATCTTCTTTTCCTTTTTATCTTCTTCAATATCACAAACTTGTAATCCTTTCAAAATTTCAGTTCTTATTGGATATGGTGTTGCAATACAAATTACAAATCCTTATTATATTTTCGGTTAAAATAGAAATCAAAATATTTTCCATATTTTCATACAAAGAGAAAAAATTACTTAATAAAAACGATATTGTTTCTCCTACACCGAAAAACACGAAACTAAACATAACAAGGGTTACGAAAGTTTCGTCCGACTTATTAGACTTAAATTACTTGGATATTGCTATAGAGGAATAATAAAAAAAAAAAAAAGTTGCAAAAGAGAAATTGTTTCAAAACGGAAAAATCAACTGTTAGCTACACATTCAACCTAAGCGTACACATATATACGATATTTATTGAGATTTTCAAGCACAATATATTGCTACGAAATGGTATATTTGTATGCGTATATTTGTGGGAGACTCTGCTGGTCTTTTTTTCACTCAGTTTCAGTGTGTGTGTGTGTGTGTGTGTGTGTGTGTGTGTGTGTTGCCTTTAGCTTTAGCAGCAAAAATATAGCAGTAACCAAGAATAACAGTAAAATGCACAACAAGAACAAGAACAGCAGCGTCAACAGCACCTTAGTGACTGCGTATCAATCAGAGGGTTTAACAAGCAAATTTATGCACTTGAGTTACTTGAGCATCTCTCTGTGATGCTCTTGTCAGTTTATGTTTCTTTTGCTAGCACATGCAAACAAACAATATATATATATATATATATACATATGCAAAAACAGTGAGAAATAGTTGCCTGCCAGCCAGCGACCCATTTAATTTTGTTCATTTTTTACATTAATTCTTGTTGTTCTATACACTGCTGCTGTTGTTGTTGTTGTTGTTATTGTTATTGCTGGCGATGTGTGTGAATGCGGGTGCGTGTGCGTGTGCGTGTGCGTGTGTGTTATTATAGTTATATATTCTTCTTGTAGTGTATGCATGTCGTTGATTCTTTTCTCCGTTATATGACATAATCCCTTTGTTAGTGTGCGTGTATTGTGTATGCAAGTATATACCTGTATATGCATTGTGGACCTTATCCTCTTTTGAATTGAACTTTTACATATTTTATGCATTTTACTTTACTTGTTGCTCGAATACTCGATGGCATTTGTGTTTAATGCAGATGTATATGTGCAAATGCTTGCGTAAATGTATGCTTCTAAGTAAGATATTTGAATGTGTATTTGTGTGTGTGTGTGTATGTGTGTATGTGAAGTGATATTTTAGTTATTCTGTTACTTAAACTAGTAATCTTTACTTACAGCACATGTGTTTATACTATGAGTTTGTGCATGTGTAGGAGTTAGTGTTGTTAGTTTCTATGCATTTTATTTAGTTACGCCCAGGTGTTTGTGAGTTGTTAGCAGTTTCTTTTCAGAATAGGTATGTTTGTGTATAGTTCTCTTCATCATGTGTATCCATATAAAACATATATTGAGACGTATGATATATGTAGCCTATGCTGTTGGTTATTGTTTTTATTGTTGTTCTTGCTATTATGAGAGCTGATACTACATTGAGAAATATCCTTAAAGCCATTTATCCTTGCATAAAACAATATCATCGTATAATTACATATGCAAGCATTCATGCATCATACATTCCCTTACAACTCAGTGTGCATTCGTATTAGAAATATATATATATATATATATATGTATATGTATATATATATATGACCCATGAACCGAATCCAATATCAGTTCTATATGCGCATTTTCAATACTGGTTATATTTTATGCATGATTGTATGTATGTATTTATGCATATTGTTATAAGCTTGTGCGGTGGGTGCAAGCGTTTGTATGCCTGCGTATGTGTTTATTTATATGCTTATACATGTTTGTATTTCACATATCCAAGACTTTACGGCTTTATTGCTTTATTTTAGAAAATTGTCCTTTTTTTTTTGTCGTTTGTTCCCTTGTATCCATAGTAATTTATGTTGATTTTCATTTTCTTGACTTGTTTTTTTTGAAATCCTTTCTTTCCCTCTTTTTCTCTTTTTTTTTTTGTTTTCTCTTGAATTCCTAAAAAAGGTTTTGAATGAATTATGAATATTTTTTCTTCTTTAGTTTAAATTAAACTCTAATAGCATCTGTGTTATGAATTTTCCTTGCATTTATCTCCACAATTTAGCGGTACAATAGATTCGTCCTGTAGCTTGCACCAATCGAAATTATTATTTCCTTGAGAGATTGTAATTGAATTGAGCCATGACCATCGCTTATTGGGAGCGTCAAAGTCATGCATATATATGAAGATAGTTCATATTATCAAAAAAACAATGAGAGTCTTCAAACTCCAACTAATTACACATTTACATTAGTATTTTTCAATTTACCTTAACCTTTTCAAAAACTGCCCGGTAATAAAGAGAATTAGGGAAATCGCTAGAGATAAATTGTTATTCATTTCTCTCATATTAATCGAAGTGCCGCTCTTTTACAATAATAGTTGCTTTCATTCCATTCTCTTTCTCCCTCTCTCTCACTCTTTCTATCTGTCTCTCTCTCTCTCTTTCTGTCTGTCTCTCTCTCTCTCTTTCTGTCTGTCTCTCCCTCTCTTTATCTCTGTCTCTCTCTCTCTTTCTTTCTCTTTCTATAGACAACAAATTTTATTAACAAGTGCTGGCAACTCTGCGAAGCTTAATAAAAATGGCAGCATATCTATGATTTACGCGCCATATTGTTGACATTCGTTTTCAAAAGCTGTAGAAGACGGTGTGTATATTATCAATGAAATGGGGAATCTATATTCCTTAACGTAAAAAAAGCAATAAATGCAATAATTTTATAATAATCGTTTCTCCTTTTTTTCTATTTTTAGCACTATCACCATTTAACTTTCTTATCAGATCAGATGATAATTAAAATGAAGTCGTAACACAAAGTACAGTTGATCTCCTACAAAAATCATTGCTGCGTCTAGTGTGACATCAGCGCTAGCTACGCTAGCCACTAATACAGTAATTGCAAGGTAAAAATTCCAATATATGTGAAGGCTGTCAAAAAAGATTTAAGCGGAGAAATTGATACGTTATCGGATACTGCTGCACCCTGCAGTTCAACTTCGTATGTTAATAACAATAATGTTAGTAATGACAGTACAGTGCAAGCAAAGAAAATTTATTGCCCCCGATTAACCGCACATTTAACAAAAGAGGATTCAATTCAAAAATCATCACAGCCTGCAGTTGCTTTTCGTACTGAAATGTGAACGAGATTCATCTACTCCTTTGCATGACGTCACTTTGAATAGCTCAGCCAGCCGAAGCCAGCCAATAGCTTCCCAGTCAAGGAATATAAACTTCTGCAAATTTTCAATAGCTTCTAACGCACGTACAGCATTTCCGCGGCGAGTTCGGCTGGTGGTGGTAAACCCACTAATTCCACGACAACAATCAGTGGCAGCATTGGCATCTTCAGCAATGGTTTAACTACTGGGAACACTAATTCGAGTACGCTGTCTTTTATATCTCTCTACTATCGCCAATGGCATGACTCCGTAACGTTTGCAACAAAAAATTAAAGTCGCCCCCGTCGAATCCGAACATCCAAAATCCGCCTATTCGTATTCTTGGTTAGTAGCCCGTTACGGAAATTTACAGTTTCATGTGTGAACATATTCCGTATTCTAAAACTGCACCTAGCAGCTTGAAGAATAATGTCCGTCACAATCTGTCGTCGAATAAATTTTTGGGAAAATCGAAAAACGTCTAACCAACAGTTGCCAACGCAAAGCTATGAAACCGGAACCGTATCTCGAAAATGTGTGAGAAGGTAGAAAAATGGTCGCGGACTATCCCTATGGCTAATCACAATGTCATGGGATAATTTAGGGGCATTGGAACGTGATGAAATGAAAGATGGCAGCACTGGTGATTTCAGTGGCGAGTTAGATAGCCAATTGTAAATAGAGGAGACTTCGAAATGAGAAGAAAATTGATTGAACGAGACATTAGTAGATAATATATATTTACCAAAATTGAAATGGAAGATAAGGAAGGGAAGTAAATCCGGTTGATTACAATACTAATTTAAGTCACGATGAAAATCATCAGTTTCCGAAACAGGCTCCTGTTAATGACGCAATTGCTTCGGTAAGTGAAAAACAATTTTAACAATCGCGACAACAACAACTATACAGTTATAGTAAATTCCTGACGGTTTCTTTGCTTTACGATTAAGAAAAAGATGAAAAACTTGAAAAATTTCCATTATATATACAAAATATATTCAATGCCGTTTTAGTCGAGGATTTCCCTTTTAGTTCGTATTTTATGTTGTTTCTCTTACTTCACGCAGATATTCTTCCGTGCAATTATTAAAAATTAAAGATTTCCTTCTTTTTTTTTTTTTTTGGTTTTTATTTGCATCGTGTTTAAGAGGCAGAAATTTTAGACGGGGGCATCGCACTGCTTTCAACGAAAAGCGATATTAGTTAACAAGATTTGTAGATTAGAGAACATGTGATGATCTATGCGCATGATTTATGAAAAGAGAATTCAGGCATTTCCTCACTTACCAACACTTGATACGAACTGCAATAAATCGTCAAACGATTGGTTGGATGTTGTAAAATAGTGCGGATCGGTCCATCAATTTGGTATATATTATTACCCAAAGTAATGTAAAAGTACAAGGCAGAATGGTGCAAGGTATCTAATAGTCGACCTCGCCCGACCATGTAATCGCGACATGCGCTTAAAAAAATATTTTAACGTTGATCTTACCTGTAAATTAAGAAATTGCATCAGAATCCAGAGACCTTTACTTAGTTCAGAATGCAAGTCGAAGGCTATCTTTGTGTCCAGTTTTCAAAACTTCTTTAAGAATTATTTTTTTTTTCATTTTATTTTTATTTATTTTTTTTTTTTAAATAAAAAAATCTCTTGTTGCGCGCAGCCACATTATATTTTAATTTTAAGATTGTTTTAATTAAAACTCTGTTCAACAAGAAGAGTTTAAAGGAAAAAAAACAAGGCACAATAATTAAGGAAAATATTTTTTATGAAAACCAACCGAGCAAGAAATTACAAAAAGGAAAATGCAAGAAACAAAATGAATGGCAAAAAAGCGGATTCTTGTAAACGGGAAAGGAAAGGGGAAAAAACCCAGAGTATTAGGAGTAACAATACCATTTAATGGAAAACGCGCCTGATAATTTTAGTACCGTTTTACAAATGACCAGAGAGAAGGATGTTTGCAACATATCTTGGTTAAAGTAAGATGACACTCGAGGTTAATGATGCCTCTCAGAGTGATAGTAGGAAGTGGCCAGTTTCAGGTTTTTCTTTGTTTGTTTTTTTAAACAAACTTTTCATTTTTCTCTGCATTCCGCTCTTCCTCTTTTATTGTCTTAAGACGTTAAGAAAGAAATTTATTTAATTTTCTTAAACAATTAAAAAGTTGTAATAATGTTTACTTTAGCAGATTGAAAGTCGTTGCAATTATTTGTTTGCTCCTCTTATTCTCAGCTCTTATCCTCTAGTCGTCTGTTTCATTTTCCAACGTCATTCTGTCTAATGATAATATGTAATAATGAAAAATTAAATGTGAATCAACTTTAAATTATATAAAAACAAAAAAGGAGTTTTGCATTCACCCGTGGATCTGCTGTTTACAACGATTATAGCAAATTCTATAGGCTATAAATTGTCGATAGCAAAATATTATTATATTTAGGTTTAGTTTGTAGGTTGAGTATTTTAGGATTAGTAATTAGGATGGGTTTAGATTCATCTCATTTATGCTCATCAATCAAGTCCGTTCTGGAAGACAAAAACATCACATGCCTGCTGTTATGAGATATTTGCATTTTGTTTTCATGCTCTATACCTTAGTCTAATCGTTCTTTTCCCGTAATTATATTTTAAATCCACATTAAGCTAACATTCACTCAAATCTCTTTTTGTACGGTATATAGGGACCGCATAAAAAAAATCACACAAAACGTTACGAATAGCTATAAAAAAAATTTTTCGCAACACAATTGAAAACTTTTTTTTTTTTTGAGTGGTGAATAGGGACCGTATAAAAAAAGTCTTACAAAAAAATAACTCAAAACCTTACGAAATAACTAGAAATTGCTTTTTTAAACGAAATCAAGACACAGGGCCTTGATCATCTGAAAATACTACCTGACACTCACCTTTAGAGTTAAATTTTTTCCAGTTACCATGTGGTCGATGAACAGTTTTTGCGACGACCGTTGTTTCACTAGACGTTTATATATATATATCTCGCCGGCTAGATATACAAGATTGAAGCTCCTTTTCGGATTTTAAAGTTCTTTCAAAATTGGCATCGATTGCAAGAAAATTAGATTTATTGCAAAATTGCAACCCTGCATAGATTTGATTTGCTGTCATGTAGCCGGGTTCTTCTTTTCCATCAGTAACATCTGTTACGACAGTGACAATTATAAGGATCGGGCTTAAATTCGTTGAAATCGATCCCCATTGATATTTCGTATTCTTTAGGAAAAGCGCATGATTAAATTTTCTTGATGGTGAAAAAGGAGTAACGTAGTTTTGAAAAAAATATTTTGTTTTCGTGCTTTTGGTTTTATACCCAATGTTCGGTTCACGAAAGTTTTTCTTGTTTTTTGTAGGTGAATATGAATTGCAAATCCCTTGGGCAGTCGCTTTTACCGCTATGATGTGGGATATGTATAAGCTTTCCATTATTTTATTTTTTTCAGCATTTCCTTCGCTGCAGACAGATTTATAAAGAGCTAATGTGTTCGTATCCTATTGATTTTCATTGATTTGTTGCAAATCAATGAAGAATACGCGGGCATTGCAATGTTGTTTATATTCGAATTTTGCACACTGTATGCTTACTCTATGACTATGTGTATTACAGGAGTTTGCATAGAAATGTCAAAACGAATTCATTTTTACTCTCTCGTAAAGAAAATACATAAAGAAGCGGGAAAAGTTTACGAAGCATGCAAACATTTATTATAAAATACAAAGCACTTTAGAAAAGTTGCTAATATTTTGTATATCTATAATGAACTTGTATTGTTACAATTTTCAACTTAGACTTATTGTGTTATGATTGAATTTGCTTTTATTCCGTAATTTCCATAATTTTTTAAAACATCAGCACTATTCTGCTCTTAATTTTAAATGTATAAATTCATCAATTTATTTAAAATTGAAAAAAAAAAAAGCAAAAAGTCGAAAAATGTTTTTTTTTTTTTTTTTTTTGACATTCTTTGTTCGGAAAATGTAGAGAGAAAAAAAAAACTTATGCAGAACTTATGTACATGTGGGTTGATGTACTCATTATTGAAATGTGAAATGCCAGAAAGGACTGCTCTCGGCAGGTATAATGTTGGTTTCGTTTATAAAAATGTAACAGCAGAACAGAATATTTAATTATAAAAGTTATGGAAGGGATTGTTATATGCATTACCTTTTAAACTGTATATTGCATTTTTGTTTTGACTACAATGGAAATTTTCATTTCAATAGGATACGAAAGACATAAAATAATTGTATACTTATTATACATACTATAAATAAATATATATATATATATACATGTATACATTCATACATACAAGCATACATTTCTATAAACATATATGCATGTATGCTGCATATGTATGCATATGTATTTATCTACGCACTCAAACATACAATCATTTATAATTTTTACAAATGTGAAGGAGGAGGAGGAGGGAACCAAACATTTAAAGAGTACGCCAGATCGAGCCGAAAATATGAAATGTTTGTTTAACCTGCAGCAATGTTATTGTTTTCCATTTCCATTTCCATTTTTCTATCTCTGCTACATGCGTATTCACCAACCGACCACCTTATAGCGTTGCTCCTTAAACAAGTTTTTTTTGGCTTTGTTATGTCGGTATGTATGCGAAACCAACCAATACAATGCACAATAGAATATTGCATAAATACGTTGAGCTTCGATATATATAAATATATATTCATTCATTTATTCATTCATTTATTCATTTGTAAATACCTATATATATGTATATATATATATATATATACTATATATGTATTTTCATCATTATATTTTCATTCATTGTATTTGCTTTATGAAGAATATTTTCTTTACAATAAACATAGATAGGTATGTATAATAAGTTTTCAAATTTAACGATATTTAATTGAAAAATAGTTTATTGAGGAAAGGTAAATAAACAAATTGCGAAAACTATGGACGCCGCCCTTTCACACTATGAAAGACGAACATCAAAAAGGTCTCATACGGGTACGAATATTTCAAATCAAATTAAATATTTTTTAATCAAGTTTTTTCATAATGTTTTTTTTGTATTTTTTTTTTTTTTTTGGAACATCTTTCTGCAAAAATTTAATCAAAGTTATGCTGAGGCAATTTTCCATTGTGATGTTTATAAATGCTTTACAAGTTTTTCTTTACAATTTAAATTAATTTTTTTTATAACCACTTTTCTAATCATAATTGATATGATTAATTATATGAAATGTTGTGTTGTATGTATGTGAATCTTGAGTTTTTTTTTTTTTCTTTAAATGTGAAAACTTGGCGTACTTGGTTTCATAGAGGCGTGCAAATATTTCTTTTGCAATGATAAAAAGTGTAGATTATTTTAAATACTCTTTAATTAGCAGATGCTCATGTATAATTATAAGCGAAGCTTCCTAGAGGTATAGTAGACAAATACGGTGTCCGGAAGCCGTGTCCAAAAAAATGACCAACGCAATGTTATATATACAACAAATAAAAAAAAAATATTTAAATTGTAGTGCTTGTACTTTAGAATAAATAAGAAGAAGAACACCCTGCATATAACAGAAGACATTGGGAAGCTTCATATTCATATTCGCACTTTTAAAAGCATGTCATTGCATTTTTATCACGATTTAAATAAGTTAAACTTGTTTCAATTAACAGGCAACACTGTTAATAACAATAAAAAATTGACAGAACATTTTTGCAGGATTCGTGAACGCGCTTGTGGAAGGGAAAATACAATACAAGAGCTTTAACTTGGCAGATCTGATAAACTGTTACATTAATGCGCTTCGTATTACGCAATACAATAATTTTCAAGGGAATAACGAACCGTCGGAAG